GTCCTCATGATAGATCGGTTCCTCCTAAAATCCACAGTCACTGTGTGAGACACTGACGAGTGACTCAGCCCAGACAGGCACGGCTGCAGAAACCAGGCTAATAAAACCCTGAATGTCACCATCCCATCTGAGGCAGAGTCCACAAAGCAACGCAGAATGATGCTGCCAGAACATGAGCCGTAGAAAATGTCATTAACAAATTGACTCATCTGCAGACCACCCCCACGCCAGCATGATTGAACAGAGAGACAATTCAGTCCCGGGATGAGGGAGGTTGGGAGGGATGAAGGAGGCACACAAAGAGGCATAAAAATGGAGATGGGAGGACAAATGGAGATGAGCATTGAGACAGTAACGACAAAAGACTGAGAGAAAAACACCAAAGCGGGATGAGATAGTTGATAAAGCCAGAATGGGAGGCACAAAAAAAGGTGCAGCCAGAAAGGAGATAAAGCAGGTCAGTCAGAGATGCCTGAGCTCACTGAATGATTATTGATCATCTCTATGGGCAATTAGAGGGATCAGTTTCTGGCTCTACTGTACAGCATCATGCTGAGGGGAGAGAGGAAGGTCAGGATGAGATATTTCCATTACTGGTAGACAAGATTTCAACATGATTCCTCCCTCTGCATATTAGATACGTCATTTGTACTTTAATTAAAACACTAAAACCACATAAATACATTGAAAAAGCACAAATATTTCTTTGAAGTCAGCGTCTCGTATACTGAATATGGCAGACAGTTAACTTTCTAGTTTCCAGTGGTTTCTTTAAACTATGTAATTTTCATTAGACATTCAAGCAGTGTTGTTGCAGGCACTGTAATAAGATGACATTGTTGGATATAAAAAATAATTTTAGGATATATTTTTTGTTTGTTTAACCTCAATAAAAAAAATTTGAAAACAGCAAATGAGAGATATGCAGCTTGTTCAGGTTTGGTTCCACCCAACAACCCTTCATCTGTCTTCTAAGCTGAAACATCTACTGCTTCGAGCATCTGCTGAGTAATAAACACAACAGAAATTAATTCAGTCTTGTGTTTTGCATATAAACAGGCCACGTTTTCTACTTCAGCACAGCAAAAGAAAAAAATGATAAAAAATAAGAATAGAAACATTTTAAATCAATAAATAAAATGAAAAGCAAAGATGATTCTGGGCAATACTTTACATTTATTTCCCATTTATATACAGGTAACAGTTTAACAATTAAGGGCTCTTATATCTCCCATGCAGGAAAATAACTACCGGTATATAGGAAAATAACTAAAATGTGTATGTCATATACAGTTTGGAACATGTCATATAACCATCTATGCCTCTTTATAAATGTACCATAAAATGTTTAATGATGGTAAACTAAAGTAAGCATGATGATGGGCCTGATGTGTGTCATTCATAAGCTGCACGGTGCAGTCCTCAGTCAGCTGATGTAGGAGGCCAGAGTGCGCATTTTATCAATATTAGCTACATAAAAGCCATGTGTACTTGTTATGCTAGGTGAAAAGACAATTTAAGGGTAAAAAAGGAGGGGGGGGGGGGTCCCCGTTCCTCCCCTGAATATTGTGTTTTCCTGCTGATCTACAACCCAAACAGATGGGCCGGGCTGATGATTTATTGATGGAGGGCCTTCCTGCACAACAAAGCGGCTTCTTTTTACTCACCCCGACGACGACGGTGTCATCTCCTTGGAATTTGGGTAGGAACTGGTCCCCACGTAAAATCTCCGACTGATTTAGAGGACGAAAGCGACACAGCACTTTTATGTTGCATTCCGCTGGGGCATCGGCCATTGCGCAGATTCAAGGTGGAGGATGCTGCTTTCTGCTGAGAGGAAAGATGCTGCTGACGCTGGAGGCGATTAGATCTTGGGCCTGATCTGTGCGTCTGAATAAGCTCTGAGTGATGCGCGCAGGATCCGGTCCTTTTATATCGAGGCGGCTCTGAGGATGGCGGATAGGTCGGCCTGTTTCTTACCCTCAGAGAGACGATAATAAATTTATGCGCAGCTGGACGGGTTTTCGTGTCGCAGTGAGGCGGCCAAGCTAAATTGGATGTCAAGGCGCAAAACAACCCCCTACATCATTAAAACAATGAGCTCTGAAGCGAATCGATTGCCCCTGCTTGTTTGTTTCTCGCTTGTCGGTTCCTTTTGTGTTGTTTCGTCCTTTCCCGTGCAGGGGCGGCGGTGGGTGTGCGTCTGGCCGGTTGAAGGTGAGATGCTGCTGGAAGGGCAGTGAGGTAAAGCTGCTGCTTGATCGCCCTCCTTTGGTCGCCACAGCGCCTCCTATCTGTAATCCGAGGAAGGGCGTGGTCTGCATCCGCCTCTTTAAAGTGGTACCCACAGCCTCAGCATCACCAAGGCCCAAGGTGAGGCGTCACATCTGAACAGAGGATCGAGGAATAACTTTGTTATCATATACATCACAAATAGTCGTTGGCTCTCATCCAAGGAATGACTGTACTGCTTGGAAAGCCATATGAAACCATTTGGGGAAGAGAGATTATTGATTAAGGGATGATTAGGCTTCAGCTTAAAGTGGCATTACAGGCCAGGGTGATGCAGCAATATGTCGAGACAGCACATTGAATGTCAGAAACCTGTAATTAACACTGAAAATACAACTACTATGGAGTTGGGTTTTAGTATCATAAAATATGGGCTGTCTGCAGAAACACAGGAACCATCTATATGAGCTATTTGCAGGGTTCTGGTATTGTGCAAACAGACTGAAATTGAACTGTGGGTTTTCTTTTAGAGTAGTCACGTATGTTGCTTATGTATATATATATATTTTTCTATGTTTATGTTACATCTACCTATCTCTAGAATTTTTTAAAGGACATTAAGAAAGTCTTTCCAAAAAATTCAGCAAAAGATTCTGATTTCTCACTATAACGAGGGCAGGACTGTGTGTGCGACCTGAAGGAATATTTAAACACATATCATATTCAAATATTCAGAACACAAAACAGCACAAGGTATATGTATTTTTTGTAAATAGTTTAATATTAAATAAAAAACGACTCCCATATAAAAAAAAGAAAGCTACAGTCCACAATTTAATCGTCTTTTTTTAACATAAGTATTGAAAGCAAGGGGTAGAATGAGAAAAATACTTAATTACAATTCCCAGAAAAAATTCACAATTCATTGTTTTCTCTCATCTGTCTCTAACAATATAAAATCAAAATAAAACACATTAACTGTACATATGTACAAATCTCCAAGTGTAGAAATTGCATAATCTGCTTTCTTTTTCACTTTTCTTTATTCTTTTTTTGTTATTTTATTTTAAATACAGCTAGAGATGCCAGTACTCTCAGGGGCAGGGCAGTGTGTGGAGGAGAGTTCAAACAGTGACGGGGGAGACAGAGCAAGGATATCACTCCAAATCCACAGTAACACACGGACTCAACAGATCCACATAAGACATTATCGCTCTCTGTGTTATAAGTATTCCAGCCATCCATTCATCCAATCAAAGGACATACAGTACTTTCTGTAAACACCTGGTTCCTGTTAACTTCAAAATTAAGCCTCTTTATTTATTTTATTTTTTTTAAATAGACTTATCTCTTGCCTGGGTCTCATCCCATGTAAGTCACCAGAGCTACATGTAATTCTTCACAGCGTCAAGTAACACAGCATCTGAAATGTAAATGGGTTGCCAAATTATGACAAACGACACTCGTGAGTTGCACTAGATTTGTTGCCGGTTTTGCAATTTTTACAAACATCAGTATGGTTAGTCACTGGGAACCCTGGAGCATTGCAAAATGATTCAAGGTTGTACAAAACAACTTCAAATTAACGTTTTCTGTTGGTTTAACATGGAAACCAATACATCTCACATGATATGTGAAATTATATTCAATGAAAAACTTTCCTGTTTGTAATCAGCCACTGATATAAACTACCTAAGAAACCTGATTGAGTAAACCACACTAGTTCCTTGGTTTATCCCACATAAAGGTTATATCATACTTTGAAAAAAAGGGGGAGAAAAAGTCAAGTTTCTTTCCTTCCTGTAGTCTCTTTCAGCACCGCCTGAAAACCTGGAACATTTCTCTAAAATACAAGCACAAAGAGACGTTCATCTTACTAAAAAGACAAAGTCTCACTGAAATGAAAAACGTCCTGACAGTGGGGGGCTCAGCAACAGCACTGTTGTCCAACACACACACACACACACACACACACACACACACACACA